AGGTTCGTCGTTGTAGGGGCTGAGTCGTCCTATAACATCATCATGGGACGGACGAGCCTGAATGCATTCCAGGCGGTCGTATCCACGTACCACATGACGATCAAATATCCAGTGGGCGAAAACGTAGGGGAGATTGCCGGGGATCAGCTTACTGCAAGAAGCTGCTACCAGACAACAGTTAGCAATAACAAGCAATTGGCGAAAAGACAGGCTGAGTCGAAGGGAGAGGAAATCAATCGACCAGGAGGATCGAGGTCGAAGGAGGAGAAGCAAAAGGTGGACAAGGGCAAGGAAAAGATGGACATCCAGCCTGGGGGAGAGGTTGAGGAAATTCAGATGATCGAGGGATGCGAGGGTAGAAAGTTTAGAATTGGGAAGGATCTGGAGGAGCCAATTCGGTCGAGGCTGATTGACTTGGTACGGGAGTTCGCTGATATTTTTGCCTATACGGCTGAGGAGTTAACAGGAATAAGTGCGGAGGTGATTGAACATCGACTGAATATCGACCTCAACGTGAGGCCGGTGAAGCAGAAGAGGAGGCACCATGGGGCGGAGATGGACAAGATTATCGAGCAGGAGGTCGAGAAATTGTTGGGAGCAGGGCATATTAAGGAGATTCAATTCCTTGAGTGGTTATCAAACACAGTGATGGTGTCGAAGTCGGAAGGAAAATGGAGAATGTGCATTGATTTTCGTGACTTGAATAAGGCGTGCCCGAAGGATCTATATCCACTGCCCAGAATCGACCAGCTGGTCGACTCAACGGCAGGGTGTGAGTTGCTGAGCCTAATGGATGCATCCCAAAGGTATCATCAAATTCCCTTGGCTAGAGAAGACAGGAAGCGGGTGAGTTTTGTGACTAGTCGAGGGACCTACTGTTACGTGGTCATGCCGTTTGGTTTAAAGAATGCGGGTGCCACATATCAAAGGTTGGTCGATAAGATTTTTAAGGAGCAGCTGGGAAGGAATATGGAGGTATACGTGGATGATATGTTGGTGAAGAGTAAGGAGGAACTCGACCATGTGCGAGATTTGAAAGAAACATTCTTGACATTGCGGAGATATGGGATGAAGGTGAACCCGGCCAAGTGCTCTTTCGGGGTGAGATCGGGCAAATTTCTGGGCTACCTGGTGACCAAGAGAGGTATTGAGGTCAATCCGGAGAAAGTACGAGCTGTGATGGAGATGAAGTCGCCAACAAACATAAAGGAGGTGCAAATTTTAGCCGGCCGGATTGCGGGCTTGAGTCGTTTTATATCGAAGGTGGCGGAAAAGAGTTGCCCGTTGTTCAAAACCCTGAAGAAGAGCGCGAAGTTCCAATGGACGGAGGAGGCGCAAAAAGCATTTGAGGAGCTGCGAGGGGTGTTGGCCAACCTCCCTTTATTGGCCAAACCTGTGCAAGGGGAGGAGCTGGTGCTATACATTTCCATCGGAGAGAGAGCTGTAAGTTCGGTATTGTTGCGGGAGGAGGGAACAGCGCAAATCCCTATCTACTATGTGAGTAGAGTGATGCAAGGAGCAGAGACGAGATATTCGGAGATCGAGAAGTGTGCGCTAGCTGTGGTTGTAACTGCTCGCAAGTTGAGACCGTATTTCTTGAATCATAAGGTGAAGGTGCGAACGAATATGCCGTTGGGAGAAACATTGGGTCGGCCATCGGTCTCTGGTCGATTGGTGAAGTGGGCGGTTGAACTGAGCAAGTATTCTCTGATGTACGAGCCAAGGAGAGCCATAAAGGCGCAGGTGTTGGCCGATTTTATCCAGGAAGGCACGAAAGTCGAGGAGGAGTTAGAGGGGCTATGGCAGTTGTTTGTAGATGGATCTGTGGCCCGAAGCGGAGCAGGACTGGGAATTGTTCTGGTTTCTCTCAAAGGTGATTATTTGGAATTCGCGGTTAAGGTGGGGTTCAAGATATCCAATAATGAAGCTGAATATGAGGCGGTGATTAAGGGACTGAGTCTGGCCAAAGCGGGGGGTGCTCGAAAGTTGCAAGTACACTCCGATTCCCAACTGGTGGTTGGGCAGTTTCAAGAAGGTTTTGGAGTCAAAGAGGATCGGATGCAGAGATATGTAGATGAAATGAAGAAGCTGAGAGAGGAGTTTGAATCGTTCGAACTAATACAAATTCCTCGAGGAGAGAATGGTCGAGCAGACCTATTGTCGAAAATTGCCCAAAGTTTGGTCGATTGTAAGAGCAGAAGTGTCACTATATTGCATCTGGAGAGAAGTGCAGTTGAGACGGAGGTAGCGGAGATCGAAGAGGTAGAGGATTGGAGGGCCCCGATCTTGGAGGAATTGAGAGAAGGGACTATGAAGGTGGTCAGGAGGTTTTTCGAGCAGGGAGGTACCCTTTAAAAGCGGTCATATGGAGGACCACACCTACGCTGTGTCACCAAGGAAGAAGGTCGATATGTGCTGAAGGAGATACACGAGGGTTGCTCCAGCGATCACAGTAAGTCGGGGGCTTTGGTCGCAAGGATCCTAAGGGCAGGTTATTTCTGGCCGACAATGCGAGAAAATGCAAAAGCGATGGTAAAAAAGTGCTTGCAGTGCCAGAAGCACGGTCCCTTGATCCATCAACCGGCTGAAGCGATGACAACGATGAGTGCCCCTATACCCTTCGCTCAATGGGGGGTCGATCTGGTGGGGCTAATGCCGCAGGGAACGGGACAGAGGAAATTCCTGATAGTGGCGGTCGATTATTTCACGAAATGGGTGGAGGCTGAGCCCTTGGCAAAGATCACAGAAGAGAAAGTAATCAAATTCCTATATAGCAACATTTGCTGCCGTTTTGGTGTACCCAAGGTGTTGATTTCCGACAACGGAACCCAATTCAATGGTAAGCGGATTCAAGCGTGGTGTGAAGATATGAGAATCGAGCAGCATTTCGCCTCGGTAGCTCATCCGCAAGCCAACGGCCAGGTCGAGGTAACCAATCGGATCATATTGAACGGGCTAAAAAAAAGTTAGAAAAGGCCTCGGGAGCATGGGTCGATGAGTTGAACTCTGTGTTGTGGGCGTATCGTACAACTCCGCGGTCGACCACTGGAGAGACTCCGTTCAGCTTGGCTTACGGAATGGAAGCATTACTGCCGGTCGAGATCGAGATGCAATCCCAGAGGTTGAGCGCATACAATACGGAGCAGAATGAGGACTTGATGATAGCGGCTTTAGACACTATTGAGGAACTACGAGGGAAGGCAGCAGTCAGGGTGGAGGCGTATAAGCAGAGGATGCGCGCGGCTCACGACAAGAAAGTGAAGATTCGCAGACTTCAAGTCGGCGATTTAGTTTAGAAACGTGTCGATGTACTCAAGCACGGGGGAAAGCTGGAGCCGAACTGGGAAGGACCATACCTGGTCGAGCGAGTGCACGCAGGAGGAGCGTACTCGCTTAAAGATGCTGAAGGCCGATCACTTGCCAGGTCATAGAACATAGCTAATCTGAAAAAATATTATGTTTGAAAATTTTTTCTCTTCACATATGTTATTACTTCTGTACGACGTCTGAGAAATGTGAACAAGAATGTAAATCACAAAATTTATCAAGAGGCAATGAAATTCAGTGATTTTTCTAGTTTTATCTATTTTATTGAACATTTGCTTATGCTGGGAATGTTGCTACGATTGAATGACAGGATGTATATGGTATGGTTCGATCTAGAGGTCGCTTGTTTAGAACATTCCTGGGGTGGGCAGGTTGGTCGAAGACCTCCTGTTTAGAACATTCCAGGGGTGGGCAAGTGTGAAGACCAAAACCCACCATGAATAAGGCC